TATTGGAAATGGAGTTTTCAATTTATTACAAAGTGACACTGTTGAAAATTTAAGACCCTCTACCAGCTTTCAACTTGTCGCATTTCCAACTCTGAATGATGGATATGCAATTGTGTATGCTAACTCGACTAATAACTATACAGCTTTTGACCCGATATCTGATCAACTTACCGCAAAAGCAGGAATATACGCAATATTATTAACTTATAATCAAACAAAATCAAGCCAAAGAACCATTTTATATGAAATGACTACTCCTAATATAACGTTTGCCGACTTGCATTGCTCGGTAGATTACGTTTTCATTGGTCATATATGCACTATACGCGCACTACGAACAATTTTGAACCCACCGCCCACTGTCAATGTCACGTATTCAAACGTAACCACAACCACAGTTGCTAGCGCTACGACGACTGCGGCTGTACAAGTTATCACTCCAGTTAATGTCACTGTGGTTAACAACACTGCTCCGCTTAATATAACTATAAATCCATTTTATTTCAGAATACGTTTTCTTTCCACTGGCTCTGTAATGTCATTAAATCCAATATTCAACATATCTTTTGATGCCTTTGAATTGCTTAGAAACTTGCCTCATGGGGGATATACACATGTAACACGACAAGTTAATATTACTAGAGAATCTTTAAATTTCAGCTTTAGTCTTTATGATGAATATGATAAGCCACCATCCAATAATTGGGTGTTTCCACAGCTGCCAATTCTCTCAAATCTATATGGTGCATTTCTTATATTAGACAATAATACCATGTTAGTGGCACTAAATGAATCAACCAGTGCTTGGAGACTTCTTGCGATAGATCTTCCGCTACTTGCTCCGCCTCCACGTGCTGGTAAAATTTAAATAATAACTATGTTGCTAGATCCTTTTTAATTTAATTGACATTTACATTACATTTTATAGATAATGGTTATGGTAATTTACAAATAAGTTCAACATATCCTCAACTAAACGCTAATGGCCTGCCCTTGAATACCGATATGATCAACGTTACGTTCTTTGATCGCATTTCGTTTTCAAATGGCAATTTAACAATTTACCAGAAAATTGGCGAAACTAATGTTCCTCGATTGTTGATTAATTCAAGAACTTGTGATTCTAGTGTATGCATTTCTTCAAATACCTCCATTAGCCTCACAATTTTTGCGTGCATCTTCAATGATCCGGGCGGTCAATATTATATAGCAATGGATAATAACTTTGTAAAGAGCACAGAATACAATGAACCCATACTGGGAATTGATCAAAATATATGGATGTTTCAAGCAGGTTTATATTAATTTATATTATATTATTGTATTTTAATTATTTAAATTTGTTTATTAATAGAGAATCTCATTAATCAATGTAATCAGAGAATAGCACTATATCGAATCAAAGGCGTACTGGTAAATTTGGTTTAAATTTATCCATGAATTTATCTATGAATTTATCTATGAATTTATCTATGTGCTAAACATCAACTAAAACTCAATTTATTAGGTGATATCCGTGGAAAACTACGGTTAACAGCAAGTGGATCTACATATTTTAAACAATTAATATCTAATTCTGGAGTAGATCAATTTTTTACTGAATTAATAAAAGATCTCTTAATTATAATTCCCACTGAGCAAGGAAGATTAGATTCAAATAAACATTATCAAATTGATTCATCTTCACCCAATGCTAATCAATTTCTTATCTCACTTACCATTTATGAGATGAGGAATGGCAACAAAAAGAATTCTACTGCAATCAAAGATGATCTAAACCAACTAATAAGAAATAAAGGTGTTACAGCCATATCATTATTTGGAAATAAAACAACTCTGCTAGACAGTGAATATGGTTTTCAACAAGCCGGTAAGTGCTATTAGATATTTCGATTTTAATAATATAATTTATTTTTATTTAATGTAATGATTTTAATTTTTTCTTTTTTTAATAATTTATTTTTTATTTAATGTAATTATTTTAATTGTCACTTTTGATAGTGTCAGTAACAGAATTCTTTCAATTACATCAGACAAAGTTCATTTTGTTGTTTGTAGGCTTGGTTTTATTTGTATTATTATTTATCATAGCCAGGATAAGATCACCGAAGGTATTTATTTTTCTTTGAATTATAATATTATTAGAATATATTTATTTTTCCTTGAATTATAAATTATAATATTATTAGACTATATTTTAATTTCCTTTTTTCCATATCTAAATATATATTTAAATATAGAGTCAAAACTTTGTCATTCTTCAAATTGGTATTACGATATTTCGTACTACAACTGTTACAATATTTACTTTTACTGATGCGAAAACTGTCCCAAATCTTTTTACACCGAGGTAAAATTTATACATCATTTAAATAAATGTTAAGTAACCGAATATTAACTTTATATTTTTATTATCTAAAAAAAATTAGTGTGGTATTTCTAGTTACCCCCATACTATTCAACTTATTTATAGCCTTTTCAATAATATTTTTGGGAAAAGATGAATTCAAAACATGGTTTACAAAATACGGAAGGGCTGCTACTTCATTTGCATTGTTATCTGGTACAAATATTGATGTAATGTTAATATTAAAATCGAATTTGATGGATCTTGAACTTTTCCGGGCTCCATTATCAGATAAAGCAGTAACATCAATTTTTTGGGGATCTTGCGCTGACATAATTCTGCAAGATATACCACAATTTGTTATTCAGGTATGTTGAAATAAATAAAAAAATATCAAATTTTAATAATTAATATTAATATACTAAAAATATATATATTACACCTATTATTAGATACTTTATGTACTTTCTAGTGTCGAATACGAAATTCTTCCATTGTTCGCTTTAATAGCTTCGGGTCTTTCAACTCTTTCAAATGTGCTTAGTAAATTATTCTTTATTAAATTTGATACATATTCACCTTATTTAAGTAATTTTTATGATCATCATATGGTCGGATCAAGCAGTCAAGATGAGAAAAAAAGTGACTCTGGTGAATTTACAAATGATGACGCGAATGATGATGATGATGAAAGTATTAGATTAGAACTTCCGTAAAACATTTCATGGTGTACTAGTTAAAAAAACTATTATTGATGTATATAATTATTTTGTAAAGTTTAATTATTGGAATAAATCTTAATTAATCAATAGTCGCGTTTTGACTAATATAAATCAAATCTGTTAAAAAATTTTTTTGCGTCTATATGTTTACACTTCTAAGATATTTTCGATATTGGACGTTACATAGTTTCCCCTAGCTTGATAGTCAAGTGTATCTTTAACAATCAATAAAACTTCATGACATTTACAGTCAACCCTTTCTATATAGTCACATTTACTTTTAATCACTAATTTTTAAGA